ACGAAAAAAAGCCCCAAAAACAAGGCAGTCGAACTTAAGACTGTTTTCAAATCCAGAGCAAAATGCAAAGGAAATTGTAATCTAAAGAACACAAAAAAACTATAGAAACAGATTACGATGTGTAAAATGTTCTACGAAACACTGTCATTGTCCCATGAAATCCACTCAGGACCAGTACTCAGAAATCAATATCGGAACCTTTGTATAGTCAACAGTCAGCATAGCGAGAAATGATTTCGAGACGAGCATCCAACAACCATGCGATCAAATCAGCTCTTGGCCTAATGAAAGTGATGGAATGAAACCGTCCCGATTCCCAGAGAAAGCCCTACCAGACAAAACACCCGAGTGCAATGGGGTGGGCCGCAGGGTTGAAAAATCGAAAAACACATAAACGGAGATGAGTAACGTGCTAACGGATTAAGCAATTTGCACGCATGCCCAAGGCTGTCTCCAGACAAAGTAACGCTTCTCTACGGAGCGAATGAATCAGAATTCCGAACTTACGAAGGAATTAGAAGCACTTCAGAAGAGGATTCAGAAGAAAAGAAAATGAAACAAGAAGCGGATAGGAGACGAAAAATCAGCGCAGTCAGCTTACCATCAGGTTTTCTGCGCCGTTTCGCCGGTGGCGCTCCTTCGCTTGGCGTTGACACTACCGACGACACATCGTCCGGTGTCTCGGAGCCGTCCGAATGCGTCTCCTGCGTGTCCCCTTCGGGAGGTGTGACAGCATTTCTTGCCGCCAAAGAGCTGCAACGTAAATCATAGGTATCGATCGGTTAAGAATGACAAAGCTCACGAACCTAACCAACGATAAAAGGAAATCCGGTCCATAATGCCCGTTATTCGAGAACACACCAGCCATGTTCATAACGAAACTTCCTCCGTAACCGTAATCCGTGAATTACTGCCGTGATTTGGGCTGTGAAGAGCCGAAAACAGTAGCAGTAGATGAGAATGGAGTCCGATTGCGAAAAACGAACACAGTAGCCAACTCTCAGCTCTGAGCTCAGTTCGGTGGCGTGCCGAAGTAGCAAATAAGGAGTGAGAGGGGCGTGGTCCGCGCTTGCAAGTGGGCGGGCCCAACAGCAGCTGCCTCTCTCTTTCGGCGGCCGTGGCGATTCTCTTCGGCTCCAAAGGAGGCAATCACAACCAGCAGTCAGATCGCCTGCAGATTGACCATTTCGGTCGACAATTTTCAAATCATAGCCCACTTTTGCAGCAGCTGCATAGCCGCGTACAACGCACATGCTGTCATTGTTGTACACATTTGAAAAGACACAAAGTTTTACTTCAGTAACTAATGACTACATTGACAACACGGACGACATCTTGGAGTGCCTAAAGTCAAATGAGTATCGGACTGGCTAAATAGAGCGCGATAACAACAAATAGAAGATAAAATGTGACTGGAACGCGACCGTTTAAAATTGCGGACATCCAATCAATAAATAGCCACAACGAGAATGATAAAAAAAAACAGGATTCTCTTTTACAAAATACTAAGTTTTAAACAAAAACACAATCCTTCAGACATAAAAATGACGTACTCAAACAAACAAGAAGAGTCAATCAATTAATCAATACATTAGCATAACAATAAGAATTACGTGATTTCACTATTTTTCATCTTATTACGCGTCATACGAGTCCAGACTGAAATCCACCAGTTTCACAGGTTTTGTCTGCCATTTGCCGAGACCAGCGACTTCCAGCTGAAGATCACATACACATTAGCACCCGAAATAGCCGACACGAAAACGGATACAAGGGCAAATGGCTGGCCAGAATGGGTCTCGACGACCTGTCTGTCAGCTTCAACGTCTCGTAATTAACTTGAATCTACCGACTTACTTGCTCATAGAGCACACGTTTCGCTTCATTGTAGGCGATTGCTTGCTGTTTTGCTTCCATATATGTACCACTGCGTTTCAGGCTATCAGGTGCCAATTTCAAAAAGGCCTAAAAAATTCAAATCAGTTTCGTTCAATAGAAACTGTGAAGTGAAATTTTCAGCTCAAAACCACACACCTCAAAAATCGCTGCTTTGCACAAGCGAGAGGGTGACCCTTTATTGGTTCGGCCCGATTCCGTATTCAGCATTTCCACATGCTCCATATCACGGGTCCATACGTGTGATGGTGACATAGACAACATAATTTTATTCTGTAAGATTTAAAATATTGATCAAGGAAACCAGTAATACTTCACAATGTTGCCAAAACTACGAGAAAGAACTCAGACTCACCCTAATTGACTCCACCTTGCATGGAATCGTTGGGGGCTCAAGTCGTCCAAATAGAGCATGCAACATTGAGTCATCGCTCACAGGAGCCACACTACCGAAGAACACCGAGTGTGGTAGGATCGGATGCATCAGGGTGGACAGAAGTGCTCCTTGTACACCTGAAACCAAATATGCAGTTTATGGTTACCGTACCTATCCTCAAGTTGGGATGATAGCTACCGTAGTTTAGCGGAGGGCCGAGACATGCGGCGAAAGCGATGTCTCGGGAAGTTTGAGGCAGTCGAGCGTTGGACGAAGAGAGCGAGAGAAATCGCCGCGCCGAGCAGCCGTCTCTGAGTGGGCCAATTAGATGGACGCGGAAACTTTGTGCGCCACTCGCTCGGCCAATCGCCGTTCAGCCGTCTAACTTCCGGCAACCGTAATCATCGCACTTTGGGATGGGGAGAGAGAGCAGTGAAAGGATAACATTCAAGGAAATTCGAGCTCAGCACCTAGCACGCAAAATCCATAAAAAGACGAAACGACGGCACTCAGTGAGGGACATTCCTCAGAGTCATCAGTCACACCACACTAATTCGACAAACGAACCCGCTACCGCCACCATCACAACGATGACGACGGGGCAATTAATTATTTACCGATGGCATGGCGTAATATGCAACAAGGCACATTATATGGACAGTCGAGACGCCGGTCATTGTTTGACCAAGCCGCGGTCATTTTTCGTCACAGCACTCTCGTTTCACCCCCATCATGCACCTGGCCTTTTCCGGAGAGTACTCATTCAGGTATTGAGTGCATTGAATTAAATGCGCCTTTTGCCCTATTCCACATGCCCATCATCTCTTTGCAATAGAATCTTGGCGCATTCGGAAACGCGTTGCCGTTTGCTGGTGACGGTGGAAACTCGATGCGTCACATTACTCTTAAGCGTGAGCTCTTCGGCCGTCCGCCCCCAGCCCTCGGCGGTCGCTTAGCCACTCGTTGACGCCTATTCTATTACTCCTTTTCTAGTCCACAGGGGCTTCGGCATCCAATCTTAGACACATGAATGAAACGAAATGGGAATTCGCGTATAAAGAGGGAGGCAGCTGGCTGACTGGCTGATCACTTGACTCGATGACACTGCAGTGACAGCGGCTAAAACGATCAGCTTCTCGTCTTGCGTTTTTATTCCAACCTCCCCGTGTCGTGCCCTATTCTGGTCGACGCATAATCAACATGCAGAAATTAGACAGACAAGGCAACGATGGCTCTTTTCAGACGGCTGCTGCTGTTATGTGTGCAGCACGCAAGCCGCATGTCATTCCTCAAATCTCATTCGTCGCCCGGCGCATTTGAAATCGCAGAAACTGATCGAGATTACCACAATGACAACGACCAGGAGAGAGGAGATGAGTGCACCAGCCCAGCAAGTACCGTAGGATACTCGACAGATGGGGGAGAGAGCACGGGAGAAGAAGACGAAGGGCGAGCAATGGATATATGTATGCGAGCGTTTCGCTTCGCATACGGCTCTCTCCAAACTGCACTTCGCACCTTTAATGGCCAGTCGTTTGTGGGTTGTTACACATGCCGCTAGGGGATTGTCCACAGTAATGCACTTGACTTTCACGACTACTTCAGGCCATCAAATTGGGTTATTCATCAAACCTCCCCCTCCCACAGGCTGCATTCATGCTGGACTAAACAAAAGGAACTGCTGATGTGGAGCACGAGTTTGTTTTGTTACCGGCCCAGCCAACTAAAGCTACTTCATTTCGTTCGTGGACGACTTGCTAAGCCTCACCTAAGCCAAACTCATTACATTCACCAACGAAACCACATAAATCACTAACGGGGCACATACGCGATGCGGCGATGCGCGTCTCTCGAGATGTCAACGGCTGCATCGTCAGCCGTTGAGTTCGATTATAAATGGCCGCAGGAAGTTGCCTCTTCGTCTTCAAGAGTTTAATTAGCAACTGAAGAGATACGCGCCGAGATTGATATTGTGAGATCATACGATTGAACCTCCGTTAGCCGGCAAACGGGCAATGAATAAACACAGGGTATCGCCAACTGAACACACTATTTTCATCAAAATATCCCAGTTATGAGTATTTCTCGCTAGTAAAGCAGCGAATGCTTAGGACGGATCTCAAAGCCAGATTATCTAATTTCTAGGGAATGACAAGATCCACTTCCGCTGTAGTTTTGAATAAACCCAAATCTAGACATAATTTTTAGCGCCTTGATTTTCTATGTCTCGAATAAAAATACCGGCCAAATATTTAAATATAATAACATCAACCTATTTCACAGGTTTCTTCACACTTTTTTTCAATTTGCCATTCTTATTCTTTTCCAACAATAATAGCACTTCAGTCAATAACGCACTATTCATCCAAGTTGCCAGTGCTCCCTTTTCACTAATCCAAGATTCTTTTGCGCCAGAACTCAGCTGAGGCCTTACCAAAAAGGTCAACCACCATCTTCTGATTCTTCTAACTACAGAAAAAAAACATTTTTTTCATTTTTTTGGACCAAAAAAGTTTTCCACGATTTGGTCAACCGCATTTTTAATCAAGAATGCTCAAAAATGTGAAAAAAAAAAACCAAAAATTTGACCTAGTAGCGAAAAAGGCTCGAAATCGAAAAAAAACCAAATTACCTACAGAGCAATCCTAAGCTGCTAGACTGCCGGCCAACGGTTCACAAGGAGCTCCACCGCAATTTATGAGGGTCGAGTCATTTTTTTATGAAACACGACTCATATCGATACCTCCTATGCGCCACTGCATCCATTCTTCCAAACCACACATAGACTAAACAACACAAAGACCTGAGTGACCACAGAAACCACACAATCCAATTTACATAAAAAATCCCACCCCCACATGAATATGGCAAATCGTACCTCTCACTAAAAAAACCAAATCATAAAGCCATGAAGCCTTGACACCATACCGGAACCCCTCACACAAAATGGACGTCTAAAGAACTTACGCGAAAGGTCCTCTACCACAGAAAAACGATACCTTAGGCCCCTAGCCTCATGAGCATAAAAAGAACGGAACATAAGCGTTAGTTCGATAATACTAATCCTACACACAAGACAAAATGATCACTCTTTCCGTGGAAGATTCCTTTAACGTGAAACACTCTTCAATCCCATTTCTATACTAAACTCATAGAGATGATCGCAAGCACAAGCTAATAGAAATTTTTTTCAAAAACTCTCAAAAATGTTTCAAACGCATCAAAACTTTGCAACTGAAAGAAACGAGTCGTTGGGCTTTCCAGAGACAAGCAATATTTCATAACTTTACGGTGGACTCCACAGCATTCCCCATCGACCACCTATCCTACTCTCTGCGCCATTTGGAAAGAATACGCTCCTCCTTGAATATTCATAGGCCAATTTCAACGAGAGACGTCCAGTTCGCCGCAGTTTAATAACATTTAAGTCGTCCCTGTTGTGTTTTCAATATTTGGCCTACCACATCTCATCTGGAGAGTTAACTCGATCCTTCGGCTCTCTCTCACTCTCTAGCAAGTCCGCCTTCCCGCTTCGCAATGACTATCAGCCTTGTTTTTCTCATCGACAACTTCGACTACGGTAGCTCTCTGGACGGGATGAGTACACACCACTAGCTTGCTAGCTAGCGCCACACAGCCACCACCAAAACAACAACGACAACGACGACGGTGACGACGACGACGATACTCTCGGATGACAAACGCGAATTGCGCTGTCAAGCCCGAATAACATAATCGTGTATTTGCTTTCGAAAAAAGGGGAAAAAATTCGTCCAGCTTCATCTACCAATTTGGGCTACTTGGACACGAGTTATTTCGGGTAGCTGGTTTTCCACCAAAAAGTATCTTTTTAAACTCAAAGCTCCAGATGAATGTCGAAACAGATGCCACCAGCAATTTTCAACCCTATGTCCAGAGAACATCCATCGAAG